ATGTAATATTATTTGATGTATGAGAAGACTGCTATAACCACTTAGCAAAACGAAAGCATTTTATTTTTAACTTGTTTTTTTCTTTAGAGAAATTTTTGCTAGAGTGCGTGTACTTGCCAGAGAGACAGAGACAGAGAGACAGAAAGCAAAAAAAATCACACCCAAGGGGGGGTGACCACACGGCAATCCTTTCTCCACTCTTCTCTCAGGATTTTTGGCACACACACATACACACTTGGTGTGAGTTTCAAGCCTTCTGATCCAGGCCTCAAAACCACAGTTGACCATGTGGGAGTCCAGTGACATAACCATTATGCCATCAGCTGGTCACTGTTTTTAACTTTTTAATGTTAGCTATACATGAAAAAAATCACATAAAACACATGTAACATCACCTAGCTAAATTATACCCCAACTCAATTTTTCTTTTCCTGGTAGTCTCCATATTCCTGACTTCTTGTTTTTTCTTTTTAGAGAGATTTTTGCTATAGGGTGTGTGCTCTCTTGGGAGAGACAGAGACAGACAGACAGAAAATGAGAAATCACCCACCAGCGGGGATGGCCGTGCTGCAATCCCTTCTCCTCCATTCTCCTCTTGGGATTTTGAGCATGCACACACACATGCCTGACATGAGTTTTAAACTACCAGGTCTAAGACTTGAATCATGGTTGACTACATGGTAGTCCAGCAATGTAACCATTATGCCATCCACTGTTCCCCATACTACTGACTTCTGTTAAGAGTAGTAGTTGTGGGACCAGCAGTTAGTGTAATGGCTATGTCACTGAACTCCCATGTATCTGATCGCAGTTCGAGTCCTGGACCTGGTGGCTTAAACTCGCACCAGGTGTGTGTGTGTGCATGTCTAAGATCCTGAGAGGAGAATGGAGGAGAAGGAATTGCAGCATGGCCATCCCCCCTGAGGGGTAATTTTTTGCTTTCTATCTCTCTGTCTCTGTCTTTCTAGCGAGCACATGCTCCCTATAGCATAAAAAAAAAAATAAAAAAAAAAAGAGTAGTAGTTGCAGGACCAGTGGATGGCATAATGGTTACATCGCTGGACTCCCACACAGTTGACTATGGTTCGAATCCCGGACTCAGTAGCTTAAAACTCATGCCAGGGTTGTGTGTGTGTGTGTGTGTGTGTGTGTGTGTGTGTGTGTGTGATATCCCAAAATCCTGAGGGACAATATGATTCCTTTTATGTAAATAAAAACATTAATGTTGATATGTTAAAATTAATTTTTTTGAGAGGTTTTTGGAGCACACATACCCTATAGCAAAAATCTCTCTCTCAAAAAAAAAAAAAAAAAAAAGAAAAAGAAAAAAGAAAGAATAGTATTTGTTTCATAGTTTTGTTGTTTATGTGTGGCCGGTATTGGGATTGTTGGTTATGGAGCTGGGATATTATCTTTAAGTCTATTAGAAAGTCCTAAATAGTTTCCATGGTAGTTGTACCAGTTTGTACTGCTGCCGTAAGTACATGAGTACTTATTGCTCCACAGTTTCTCCAACACTTACTTAGTTTTGTTAGATTCTGTATTCTTGCTTACTAACAAAAATGAGTACTTTCTAATATATTTACTTATTATTTGTGTGTCCTCTTTTTAGAATACTTATTGATATTTTCTGCCTACGTCTTCTATATTTTGTAAGATTTATTTATGTATTTATACTATATTTTGGTTGTCTGACTATATGTGTTTCAAGTATATTCTCATACTCTGGCTCTTTTCATAGTCTTTTCTCTCTATAGTATATTTTGAGAAAAAGTTCTTAATTTTAATTTATTCAAATTTATCAGCTTTTTTTCCTTTATATATAGTGCTTTATGAGTCTTAAGGAATTTCCTATCATGTAGCTATAAAAATAATATATGAACTTACAAAATATCTACAGTTTTGATTTTATAGTCTGGCTCTGAATTGACTTGCAATTGCTTATTACATGCTTTACAGTTGGGATCTAGTTTTATGTTTTGCCATATGAACAATCATTTTTCACAATCAATAGTTATTTAAAAGACCATTTTTTGTGTAAGCAAGTATTTTTAAGGTTACCTCTGTCATATGTAAGTGGCCACAAATTCATATTTCTGGGATCTCCATTTTCTATCTTGTTCATATATTTGTTATTCTGTTGATCAGCACCATGCTACTTTATTTTTTGTAGTAATAATAATAATTCTTATGAGGATATAAATGATCTTAATCTTCATTTTTGAGTGTTTCGTGGTTTGGATTAACATTTTGCATTTTCACACTTCAATATCCTTTTTTTTTTTTTTAGAGACAGATTTTTGCTATAAGGCATGTGTGTGCTTGCTGGAGAGACAGAGAGACAGAAAGCAAGGAATTATCTCCTGGAGGGATGACTACACCACAATCCCTTCTCCTCCATTATCCTCTTGAGATCTTGAGTACCCTGAGTACCCACACACATGTGGCTGGGGTGAGTTTTAAGCCACCAGTTATGGAATTTGAACCATGGTCAACAATGTGGAAGTCCAGTGAAATAAACATTACACCATCTTTTGTTCTCACATTTTATTAAGAGCTTCTTAGGTGCAAACAAAACAACCCTCATGAAATTTCAAAGGACTGCATTGAATCTATAGATCGGTTAGAGAAAGTGAGCACCTCACAATATTGAGTTTTTTTTTTTTTTTTTTGGAGAGATTTTCACTGTAGGGCACGTGTGCTCGCCATACAGACAGAGAGAGGAGACATAGAGACAGAAAGCGAGAAATCACCCCCCAGGGGGGATGGTCACGCCGCAATCCCTTCTCCTCCATTCTCCTCTCGGGATCTTGGGCACGCACGCACACGCGCCCGGCATGAGTTTTAAGCTACCGGGTCCGGGACACGAACCGTGGTCGACTACGTGGGAGTCCAGCGACATAGCCATTACACTAACTGCTGGTTCCCCACAATATTGAGTTTTATAAATAAGAAATATGGCTGGCTCACTTTCTGTATTTCTTGGTAAAATATTTCTATTAAGTGTTGCTATTTTCTCATGAGGTATTTATGTATTTTTATTATGGTATTTACTTGATACTGTATTTTCAGGAGTACTGTAAATGTTATCTTTTAAGCTTTCTTTTTAAAAGTATTTATTGCTAGTATGAGGATTTCTATGTATTTTTATTTCTATCCAGCAACTCTGCCAAACTTGCATATCAGTTCTAACATATACTTTTTAATGGTGTGAGCATGTTGGGAGGATGTACAAGTACTTAGAACAATGCCTGATATATAGTAAGTATTCAATAAATGCATGGTAAATGCAGTCCAGTATTATTGTCTCCCCTGTTAGCAGAGATCTTAAGATAGCAAATAACTTGACAAGTTCAAAGAATAGCAAGAAAGCCAGTGTGCCCAGGATGGTATGAGTGAGAGGAAGGAGTAATATGAAATGATAGGGAGAGGTATGTAGGAGCCAGATTTTGGGCTCCCGCAGAGAATTTTGATTTGACTCTCCATATAGTATAGAAAGCCAGAAATGAGACGTCATCTGGTTGATGCTTTTAATAGATCACATAGTCTTTGTGAGGAGAATCACTTATGGAGATGGCAAGAGTGAGAGCAGGCGACTCTACTAGAGGGATATACTTCCGTAGTCTAGGGCGCAATGGCGGTGGCTTAGACTATGGCAGTGGTTGTGGCAATGAGGACAAGTGGTTTGAGTCAAGATATGTTTTGGATGTAGAACCCACAGAACTTTCTAATGGATTCACAGATCAATGGAGCATGTTCTCCATAGGAGCAGTGGTGTGGCTCCTCCTATCAACAGCACCACTCCTCTCTCAGTGTGGCACTACCACAGATTTCCTTTATCTGTTCTTGAAAAGTAAACACTCATGCCTGTTTTTGAATTCCACTTGGAGAAACAGCCTTTTACACATTTTAAATAAGTTTTTTTTCCCTCATAATCCCAACACATTTAAAATAGCTGGCTTATCTAAAAGAAAAATGTGTACTTTAGTTTTTTGCTTCATGATTCGCTGTACCACGAATGGTTCTGTGACCCCACATGCTTATCTGTTTTGTTGGAAATAAAAACCGTCTTGGCTCCTTTGTGCTTATGGTTTTAGCAGTTGGCTCGAGTTCCGTGTACACTTGGGACTTACTGTTGGAATAAACTTTATTAGGTTCACATTAAAATTGGACCAGAAATTTAGTTTTGTCCTCCTTTCAGCCTTAATTCACCCTAAAATCTCTCATCCAAATGACAAATAGTCTTGGCATTTCGAGGCGATCGAAAGATTAAAATCAGCCCTGGGTGCTTATTTAGCCTTACAGCCAACAGGGTTTCTTTTTTTTTTTTTTCCCTTCTTTTCCTTTTTTTCCTCCTTTTAAATAGAGCTAAAAATAACAGTTCTTGAGCCAGCAGGTAGTGTGGTGGTAAAGGACTGGGCTTCCACATGGCTCTCAGTGGTTTGAGTCCCAAGCCTGGAGGCTTGAACATCATGCAAGGCATCTGTATGATTTTCATGCCTGACATCCTGAGGAGAATGGAGAAAGGATTGTAGAGTGGCCATCCCCCCAAGTAGTGATTTCTCACTTTCCTTTTTTCTGCCTTTCTCTGGTAAATGCATGTGCCCTATGACAAAAATGATACTGTTCTGTGATCTCACATAAAGCTTTCTTTTACTATCCTGGCTTGTCTGCTCTTTACTCATCTGTATTTGTTCTGTATATGTCCTTAACTTCCAGCTCCTCCTTAAAGATAAACATTTTTTTAAACACTATCCTATCTGCTTAATTTGGGGCTTTTTATAATTCATGACTTGCTAAAAGGAAGAAATCTCTTTATCTTGAGCTAGTAATCCTATCTTGTCCCTATTTTTAATGTTTCTTGTCAAGTTAAAGTCAAATTGTGTCACCATTTGCTCAGTTTATTTGTAGGAGGGCCTCTGGAATCTAGAAGTCGCTCATTCGAATTTTGTGCCTAAGTCTGTGCTTCTTTGTAATTGGCTTTTTTTGTGGTCTTACAGAATATCAAGCTGCTATTTTACACTTGAAGAGGGAGCACAAAGAAGAAATTGAAAACCTGCAGGTATTTCTTTTTGATTCTGCTGAACTGGTTATGTGAGACTGATATTTAGTTTTTTCGTGTGATGAAGTAAATATTTCTCTAAGGTGATCTAGACAGCATTCATAGTTTGCACCTGCTGTGGATACAGGGAATCAAAGCCCTAGATTCTGGTCTTGTTTTGTTTTTGTTTTTTTTTCCTTTAATTTTGTGATTCTGTTTTTAATACAATTCAATTTCTAATTTTAGAAGAATGCTATAAGTGCATTTTTTGGACTGAAAAATAATAAAATTTTTTCTGAGAGTTTTTTTTGCCATAGGGGATGTGCGTTCACCAGAAAGACAGAGAGAGACAGAGAGACAAGATTGAGAAGTCATCCTCCAAGGGGGATGGCCACACCGCAATCCCTACTCCTCCATTCTCCTCTCAGGCTCTTGGGCACGCACACACACATGCCCAGCATGAGTTAAAGCAACAAGGTTTGGGACTCAAACCATGATCGACTACATGGGAGTCCAGAGACATAGCCATTACGCCAACTGTTGGTCCCTTTTTGGTTTTATTTTTAAAGCCAGGGAAATATTAGAGCATTTAGTCTTACTGTTTATATGATTTTTTATTTTTATTTTTTTAATTTGCCAGAAGGGTATGTATGCTCACTGGAGAAAGAGAGACAGCATGAAAGTGAGAAAGCATGCCCGTGGGGGATGGCCACACTTCAATTTCTTGTCTTCCATTTCTCCCTCCTTTTGTAATTTTTCACACACACATATGCATGCCTGGTGTGGTTTTCAAGCCACTGGGTCTGGGACTTGAACTCCACAGTTGGCCATGTGGGATCCAGCCAACCTTACCTCCATGCCAGCAGGTGGCTTATATATGAATTATTTTTACGGCTGTGTTTTTTGTACAAAGTGAATTATTTTTGTGTGGCTGATTTATATGTTCACATCTGTGTGTCTCTTAGCACATCCCTGAGATATGATTCATGCAATTAAGGCACTTAAGGAGGGGCCCTTGTTGGAGGGAGAGTTATACTGAACCATTTCATATCCCCAGGGCCTGCTAAGGAATTGCCAACCTGCCCCCTGTGGGAAGCTCAGAATGACTAAGGGATCCTTTCCTTTGTCCTGCCATCTCATTGTCATTCCCTGGCATTTGTTTGCAGTGCTTATGGCAGGATGTTCAAAATCTTAACTTGAAATAACTAGATATCAAATAGACCACTGAATCTATTGGGATTTCAGAAAACTCATGATGTATTTTTTCTGTTCTTCTATGCAAAAATATGTCATGACTTTTCCGGCAACCAATACTTTACTGATGGTTGAGTAAATCCATTCATCAGGAGAAAATAATAGCAAAATTAAATTCAACGGCTTACTTAATGTTAACATTTTAGTTGCTGATTTAGTGAATTTGTAGACTAAGTATTCTTTTTTGAGTTTCTTTTATTGGTAAATAAAAATTATGTATATGTATGATGTACACACATTTTGAAACATGTAAACATTGTAGAGTAACAAAATCAACTTAATTAACATATCTATTACCTCGTGTACTTATAATTTATTTGTGATGAGAATGCTTTAACTCTATCCTCTTAGCAATTTTCAAGTATATGATGCATTGAAATTAGCTATAGTCACTATGCTGTACAACAGATCTCCTGAACTTATTCCTCATGTCTAAAATTTTGTGTTTAGAACAACATCTTTCTAATTACTCTGCATCCCTGACCTGCTGTGCCCAGTCTTGTATTCTGCATGTTGGCCTATTATAGATTCCACATGTATGTGAGATCATTCTGTACTTGCTTTTTGTGCTGGGCTTGTTTCACTTAATGTCGTGTCTTCCAGATTCACCTGTGTCGTTGAAAATGATAGAATTTTCTCTTTTTAAGGCTGAATAGCAGTCCATTGTTTATATGCACGACATTTTCTTTGTCTAGACATTTGTTGATGTGTATGTAGGTTGATTCCATATCTTGGCAATTGCAAATAGTGCTACAATAAATATGAGTACATCTATCTCTTTGAAATATTGATTTTATTTTCTTTGGATATATACACCTGGTAGTGGTAGTGCTAGATCATATGGTAGTTCTATTTTAATTTTTGAGGAACTTCCATATAGTTTTGCCTAACGACTTTACTCATTTATATTCTCACCAAAAATATGCAAGGGTTTCCTTTTCTTCACAGTCTCGCCAGCACTTGTTATGTTTTATCTTTTTTAGTAATAGTCATTCTAATAGGTACGAAGTGATAACTCATTGTAGTTTTAATGTGCATTTTTTGGTGATTAGTGATGTTGAACATTTTTCTTTCTTTTAGTTTTGTCAAAGGGTATGTGTGTTCGCCAGTCAGAGAGACAGAGAAAAAGAGTCCCCCTATGGCACATGATCTTGCCATAGTCCCTTCTCCTCCATTTATCATCCCATCATGATTTTGGGCCACATATGCATACATGCCTGCTGTGGTTTTCAAGCTACTGGGTTTGGGGTTCTAACTGTGTAGTCTGCCATGTGGGATCTGGCTCACTTAACCAGTAGGCCACAGAGCTGTCTCTGAACATTTTTCATATACATTGTAGGCCATTTTTTTTAAAATTATATTTATTTATTATTATATTTAAAAGTCTGCTATAGAGTACATGTGCTAACGAGAGAGAGACTAAGAGAGAGAGAGAGAAGGAAAGGGATAATGCAAGCCACCAGGTCCAGGACTTGAACCATGGTTGGCCATGTGGAAGTCCAGTGCTTTAACCACCATGCCATGTGCTGGCCCCCTTGTAGGCCAGTTGTATATGTGTGTTTAAGAAATGTCTGTTCAGGGTCTCCATCTTTCTTAAGGTTTTTGCCAAAAGAGAGAGACAGAGACAAAGAGAGGGAAAATGAGAAATCACCCCTAGCGGGGCTGCCCATGCTGAAATCCCTTCTCCTCCATTCTCCTCTCAGGATTTTGGGAATGCATGCACACACACTTGGTGTGGTTTTCAAGTCACCAGTCTGGGGCTTGAACTGCAGTCAGCCATGTGGGAATCAAGCCACCTTCACCACACCACCTGCTAGTCCCTCTTTGTTCATTTTTAAATCAGAGTATTTGGATTTTTGTTTGTTTTTGGCTATTAAATAACTTGAACTAATATTTTGTATATTGATCCCTTATCAGATGTATAGAAATATTCTACTCATTAAGTGATACTATACTTTTAAAAATAACTGAGATGATATATGAGATTATATATGAAGTCATTGCAAGTAGTAAAATATTATCGGATAAGTAATGTGATATATGAATTCAAGCTACATCCTTGCAGCCAGGTTTAAGTAGTCCAGCATATAAAAGTGGAAAAAGTACCTCTCTCCTAGGGGAAAAAGAGAGGTGGAAGCCCTTATCTCTTTTGTTGCAAAATAACCTACAGAGGCCCTCTCTTTTTCTTTGTTCTGAAAGATTCTCAACTGTCTCAGAGGAACTGAAATTGAGAGAGGATAATTTAAGAAACAGATTGTTAAAGAAAGGTGTAGAAGTGCTTCTATAATCAGAAATTTTATTAACAGCCAAGTTGTAAGAATTAACACTACCAGTTTCCAAGTTATAAAACAGCCCTATGAGAGCTGGGCAGCTAAATCCTACTCACAGTATTAGTAGATGCCCAATTTGCTTTTAAATGTGTGTGAGAGAGAGAGAGTGAGAGCAAGTAATCTTTGACAGGGTCTTATGTCACGATCCTCCTGCCCTAGTTGCCCCGTTATCTAGGACTTCAGGCAGATGCCCTCATGCCTGGCCTGTTTGGCTGGGCTGGGAATGCAATGGATTTCCCTTGCAGCCTCAGCCATTGTGCAACAGGCTTTCCCACCTGTGCTTCCCACAAGCTTCTGGCCCAAGGCTTCAGCCCTATAAGAGGGTTGAAGATGGAAAAGAGAAGAATAAATGGAAAGAAAAAGAAAGGATATTGTGATCATGATCTCTCTTTAAAATACAGGTTAGAAAAAGATATGATAAGCAGTAGTAAAAAGTGTTCAGAAGTTCCTAGTAATGCTTTGGATTTTAAAAAAGTATTTCTAGAAGAAGTGCTTGTGCTTTTAATGCTATAAGTAAACTAGCAATGTTTTTTGCTGATTTTGGGATTTACACCTAGTCACAAAAACCCTGCAGCTCTGGCACACTGCTGCCTTTGGATGGTGTATCTAATTATTGCACTTGACTGCAGTTTGAAACCATTCCAGCAGTCACAAGAAACCCTTAATAGAAAACTCTAGTCTCTGATCGGACCTGGAGAAGTGTTTCACTTGACAAACACAGCATTTTAAAGATTAAAATAAGGGGCCAGTCCCATAGCATAGTTGTTAAGGAAGCTGGATTCTCCATGGCTATCTATGGTTTGAATCCTGGCCCGGGTAGTTTGAAAACCACACCAGGCATGTGTATGCATGTCCCCAAATCTGACAGAATGGAGAAATGGAAGAGGAGGGATTGCAACGTGACCATACCCTACTGGTGGTGCTTTCCCCCTGCTCTTTCTCCCCCCCACCTCTGTTTCTCTTTCTTATTCTCTCTTTCATGAGCACATGCAGTCTTCATTTTTTTTTAAAAGATTACATTATGAATAATTATTTTAAAGCATAGCCCATGGCCTGGATCCCACATGGCTGATAATGCTGTTGGGGTCCCAGACCCAATGGCTTGAGAAGCATTCTGTGTGTGTGTGTGTGTGCGTGTGTGTGCGTGCGCGCACACCCAAAATCTCAAAAAGAGGAAGAGATGGAGGCAAAGGAGTTACAGTGTGACCATTTTCCATAGAGAGTAAGTTAGGAAATGTTTTTTTGCTTTCTCTTTCTCTCTCTGTTAACCTATAATGAGTTCATATACCCTCTCTTAAAAATTAAAAAAGAAAAAGAAAAAAGAAAAACAATAACTTGTATCATATTTCTACTGTTTGTCAACCTCTTTTCTAGGCATTTAGCATTGGTGTTAGAGTAACTATAGAGATATAAGCATTGTAAAGTATTTGTCCCCAT